GAGCAATGCGCCGCGGACACAGGAATAGTTCTAGGCTTCGTGTGACGACACCCTAGCTAAGATAAGACCTACCCATGCGACTGGAGATTCTAGTATCTCATAAATTCATTGACATTATATTACGCTATGCTATATTCTAGTATCTCATGGTCTATTATAGTACGGATAAGCACAGCAAAAGGCAGTTCCAACCTGCATAAACAACCCCTCTTGCTCTGAGGCCTTGGCCACGTGACCGGGGCATTCGCCGGTGTCGCGAAGGTGTCCCCGCGCCGGTTCAGGTCCGGTCGGCTTTGAATCTTTGAACACCTGAGGGCTCAAAGTTGAGGATTCAAATTAAACGGCTGAGGGCTGGCAGGGAGCTGTAAGTTTGTAAGGGTTGGGGTTTTGGACAAAGCCCAAGCAAAGAAACGGCACCGCCTCTCGAGCCTCGACGCAACTCTACCACGAGACCTCCAACACCCAAGACGCTGTCGTGCTCCTGCGAAACGCAGCCGGGTAACCCGACAAGCTCGTTCTAAGCAGTCAGAGTGAAGTCGCCTGAGTGGAGATTCCAAATTCTGAGACCGAAGACTGTTGCAGGCAGTAGCCCAGTTTCAGGCAAATCCTCGAGCCAGCAATCCAACAATGTTTAAAAAGAAGAAAGCCTTAACCTCCCGGCCCCGGCTAACCGGAGGATCTCCATCCCTCTGCACCCTCCCGGGGTCCTTTGGGGCTCGTGGCTGCTGGCTTCCTGGCCGGGGCCGCTGCTCGGAGGGTCGAGGCTTCTCTGGGCTTTTCGCGAAACAAAGTGGAATATATGTGAAATTGACATGTACATGTACATGTAAATATATACACATTGACATACCTACAACTGCTACATACGCACATACATATGTAAGTAAGTGAGTGAGTAAGTACGTATGTATGTATGTATGTATGTATGTATGTATGTATGTATGTATGTATGCATGTCTCTTTATATATAGACATCCATCCATCCATTACATACGTACATACATACATACAGGCAGGCGTACATACATACAGGTATACGTTTTGGTGGTTTAAGATGTAGCATAGCTCTTCCATTGTTGAATGTGCAGGTGGCAATTAGAGATCACTTTATGTCTACAAATGCCGAAAGACTTCGTCACTCGGGGCTTGTAGGGTTGAGTTCAGTATTTGGCATAATTTGGGATCCGCTACCAGGCTTCAACCGCCATGGTCTAGTACTTGATTCAAGACATCGGTATTTGTTGTGTCGGTTCGTTTCTGATCTTGTGGCTGCAGCAGATTGGTGAGGCGGTGAGCCTCAGAAAGGTTGTTAGAGGACAGAGATTGCTTGCCAGGTGGGGTGTCAAGAAAGCATGCTAACGATGCTAATTTCCCGCGTGCGTATCATAGTTGGCTTCTCTCGAAATCGATTTAAGTCAAGATTCTGTGCTTCATGTTTCCGGAGTCTCGGGTGGCAGACTAGTGAGCTAGGCTTTTCTCCTTGTTCTTCATGGAGTGGGACCGCATCTTCGCGGTTCAGTTCGATGCACGATGTGCATTCTTTAATGCATCTTATCGTTTGGATGAGCTCTTCAAGTTTTAGAGGTAAGCAGGAAGTTGCAGATGGCGCGGTTCCCCATGCATCCCGGCCGAAAGCTCACTAAAGCACCATGTTGCGAGATCCGTGCCTCAAACCCGGTTGAAGGCCCTCGAGTCGAGCACCATCCGACTGCGCAGAAGGGACAAGCGAGGCAAGTTTGCCGGTCTCTCTCTCTCTGCCTCATTCTCTCGCTCTCTCCTCTCTCTTTGTATCCGTGTCTCTCTCTCTCTCTCTGTCTCCCTATCTCTCTCGCTCCTCTCTCTTCTCTTGCATGGTGTTTTGCTGCTTGTGTGCATGTCTCAATGTCTCTGTGAGCTCGTGGCTCGCCCATGTATGACATCAGATGATCACGAAGTCCGCCAAGCTCCACCCCTCAAGAATCATAGATCCAGTGTTCGCGCTTTGCATCGTTTTGCCTTGTGTCGAGCTATGTGGTGTTCTGCAGCCTTACAACATTCTCATCGAGCTAATTTAGTTGTTTGCATGTGCACCAGGCTGCGCTTTGCCGACTTTGGGTGGCATTGGCATAAGTCCAGATTTTTGGATTTCGTGTCCTCCTCGCAACATGCCCGGAGCAATCCAGAGCTTCGAACTCTCCTTCCGAGCGGAGACGTTTTGCATAATTGTTGGGCATCCTCGGCCCATGAAGACCCGTACTAGCCGTAGCCATCAAACATCGGCTTCCTATACCCTTTGACGCCCCCTACCACTGTAGTACACCTGTACCGTGCCAGTCGTCCTTGTGGCGCCGCGGAGCGCAGCGGACCTCGCGGAGGCTCCCTGCAGCTGAGCCATGTCACGTTCGTGTGTGCACATGTCGACACGTATGTAAAAACACCATAAACCAGTTTCTATAGACATACAGACACGCTGGAAGTACTGTGGTCTACAGGATTTGCAACAGGATGTTTCGCTGAAGGTTAGGTTATTTCCGGGAGGCCAGTCCAGTTGAGTGCTGTCCAGTTCAGGAGTTCTGAATTTTCCGTAGCGGGATTCAGGCTTCGACTTCTGAGTCGATGGAAGTTGGACCATCTCAGCTCACCGGGAGTCCCGGCAGTTCGGGCACTGGAAACCCGAGCGCCGAATCCTTGCAACTGGTATCTATCCTGAAGCCATGAACTCACCAATCCGAAGCCCTACCACTGAGGATTTCTGTAGTTCTGGCGACCCTGGTGCAGGTAGATACGGGCGATGAGCCGCCCGACGAGGCCAGGGTCACAAGAATTCACGGCATCTCTTGGCTTAGGGTTCAGTGCCAGGTGCTTACGCGACTCACAAAATTGGCCTCAAGGTTCTCCTGTAAGAGTTAGGATTTTGTGGCTTCTCTTCGCAAGGTCCCGAGTTCAAGGCTGGGAACCATTCAGTCTGAGACAAGGCTCTCGAGCCCGAAACATGATGCCACAAACCCAGGTTCTGTAAGGTGCCCGGGCTGCGGCTGCGTGATTAACTTGTTTGTCCCCGCAGAGGCTGCTGGATCTCCGCAGCGTACCGCGTGTGCTTGTCTGAACCGTCAGGGTTATATACTAGGACGTTGTAATGTTAAGGCTGTTTGTTATCGAGGTGGGATTAGGCAGTTGGTTCCGACAGTTCAGGGCAAGAGAACGTGTCAGTGTCGTGCTTTCTACTTCAGAGTAAGGTTGTCATTCGTGCGCATTGGTTGTCGAAGCTGTTTTCCAGATGGCAATTTGGGCTACTGATCGCTTTTTCCTGTCCTAGGCTTATCCTTGGTTCGGATCAACGAAGTGCCCGAAGAGCGACCCAACTCTCCCTTTCACCCCATCGCGCAAGTGCACTTCGATTTTGGTCGGAGAAGCAGAGCAAAGGTATCCCGTTTCATTTTCCATTTGGATGTGGATACTGTACTCACCCCGACCGTTTCGCTACAGCTGTACTCGGATTTGATGCTGTCGCGGAGATTTTGCTTTCTGCCCCAAAGTACCTATAGTACATAGTAGTGACATAGTACTATAGCTGCAGATCTGCAGCCACGACAGCCTCTCCCAAAGTAAGGACGCTGCAGCGACTCCGGGAAGAGGTCGCTAGGGGCTCGCCCCGGGCTGAGATCTAGTTTCCTTCATCTTAAGAGCCTTGCAGTCTGCTTGGTCGTATACAGAGGTCGGAGTGCAGGATTCATCTGTCTGGAAGGGGCTGCTACGAGCAGTGAGGCTTCCAGGGTCGGCCTCAAAATCGAAGTGCCATACAGCAAATGTTTGTCTTCTTCTGGAGCAGAAGGTAAGGGTACCATTGGCCGGTATCAGTACCTGATGTACATTTTGGGATCGCTGCAAACTGCGTGTAGTTCTTCGATCTTGGTTGTCTTTCTGGAAATGCTGCGCTTGCGGTCATGGTTGTTATCACCGGCTTTTGCGCATCGTCTTCAGCGTTCGGTCTCCGTCTCACTGTCACAACCAGGTGCGGGAGCCAAACCGCTTCCAAATAGGCATCGAAGGAAGCAACCCAGCTTGTTCAACAAAGCATGCTCCGAATCTACCATCCCGAGGCACGACGCTGTGGTACGGCGGTTCGTCTCAGCCGGTAGCCATGCTCTCAGTTGGCAGCGGTTCTGTTCAATGGCGGGCTCTGTAAGCTACTCTTCGCCGCATCCGGGCCGGGCTTCGGACTCGATAGACCCTTGCGGTTCCACCTCTTCGAACGTCACGAAAAGCCAGGCCCTGGATCTGCTTTGACGGATCGAAAGTTCAATCGTTTCAGGCTGTCATCTGGAAGCGTCTGCCGCACGAAGACTGTCATGGCCTCTGAAAATCGGCTCTAGGCGGGCTTCGGCACGAAATGCTGCAGATCCTGGAACAGGACTGCGGGCGGTCTGCTTTTGGACACGGGTGGGGCCCTTCATCCAGAGCTTGTCACTCCCTACAGTAAGTGGTGGACCCAGGCACACAAACACCAGCCGGTGCTTGAAAGAGTTGCAAGTGCAACACCGTGGCATCGTTTTTGCCTTGTTGTCTTGTTTGCAGACGTTGTCCCAGTAGCCTGTCGGCCCCACATAACCGAGACGGGATGCCCAGACCGTTCTAAAGCCCGGGCAGGCAGAAGCATTTTGATAATCGGTGATGTCAGGCGAGCAATCCCAGCCAAGCTCAGTCGCCGTCTGGAGGAGACCATGCAGCTCACAACAGAGCGTTTTCGCCTGCTGCTGCGGGCTGCACGGGCTGCAGTCATCTTGGGGGACAGAACTATTTCTGGATTCAAGCTTGATGTTCGTCTCGTGCCAAGTTGTGCCTGAAGTTTGGAGCCGCGAAGTGGCCGGTCTCGCATCTCAGTCATGAGTACTGTCTTGTGGGTCAAGCGGCAGTAAGGGCAGCAGCCGAGTCCCTTGTGAAAAAAAAGCTTGCTGTTCGCCGAAGAGCATGAACTCCGAATGATCCGCACGAAGAAGACGCCCCAGACCCCGTGAAAGGCTATGAGGCTCGGCGAGATATCCGCAGAGATCTTGGTGTGCCTTTGCCAGCATCCAACGAAGCGGCAATGCCTGCCCTGAAGTTTGTGAAGTTCGGCAACAGCAGAAGGATCACAAGTGAACCCAGGCAGCTCTACCGACGTGTGGAGAGTTGGTTCCGCTCCCAGCAGCCCGATGTGGAGGAGCCCGCAGATCGCGCGTGTGCGGGGTCGTGTATTTGGGGTTTCGAAGACACAGAAATTGATGCCCCAGCCTTGTCTGGTGTAGGTGCTTCTCGGTCAGGAAGCAGCGGTTGGTTATGTACTTACTGGCCACGTCAGGATGTTACATCCAGGCGATAGCAGCCTGTGAATTACAATATAACTGTTGCTGCTAGCGACTAGTCGCTCTTGCAAGTACTACTCATTCCGCAGCAAGAAGCATGAGCCAGCACGGGCGACAACTGCAGCATCACCGCCGACAGTGATGTCGTCCATGGCTTCGACAGCAGCAGGAAACCATCATCAACAGCAACACCCACAATAGTATGTGTTGCGAGACCTGTCGAGTTGGCTTTCGGACCTGCCATGCGGAAGGCAAGTAGGACTCGTATGGAGTCGTTGTGAGGACTGGGCGCAGGTAGTCTACGCGCTCGCGCTGAGCGGTCGTGCCCTGGCTGAATTGCTAGCAGTGAGGTGCGAGGTTAGCCGGGATTGCCTTACTCTTAATGGGGTTTCGCAGCGTGCTTGTTCTTGGGCGGTCGCGGCGCCTTTGGCTTTTGAACCTGCTTTCACGGTTCAACCAGCAATGAGTCTCCTGTAGGAGGTTCGCTCTGGACTCCCGCAAGATCTAGCTTGGAGCACAGGGTATGCAGCAGGGGTTAAGTTGAAGCTCCTGTCTTCAAGGCTGCAGTATACATGCGTGGTTGGACCCCCAGCTCTAACATGCCGAAGCCGTTGGGAGGACTGGAAGAGGCAGCAAGCATTGTGGAGACCATGGAGACCGGAAGCTTGTCAGAGATGGGGAGTCTTTGAAGATTAGGGTCCGTTGTGCAAGCCCAACACGATGAGGACCCCGAACCTATGGTTTTGGTGTGTTGGGGTTCCTGTGCTTTCAGGCATGCGCGCGGAGACCAGCATGGAAAATGGCGGTTTAGAATGTTTAGGCCTTGACGTTCCGACTACTCAGTCTTTGAGTTGCTCATGTTTAGGATTCAGGCTCGGACTTGGTGCAAGGCGACGAGGTGCAGAGCTTCGAGATTCGGATTTAGGGAGCAGAGGAGGTACGGACGCCGCGGCAGGTGCCAAGAAAGCATTCTCACTGAGTTCTGGGCACTCGGCATCATCATCATCACCATCATGGGAATGACTGCTGTAATGCATGTGAACAGAATCACCAAGAAGTCATTGTCTTCCACAGCGAAATTGACTTGTGTAGTTGCTCAGCGGCGAGACGAACTACACCAATAAGAGCACACACAGAGTGGGCAGGAGCTGAATGTAACTCTCACTGAATCACCCACCTGAACCCACAAAGGTTGGTGAATGGTGGTGAAACAAGCCACACGGGTACAACACAGCACCATAAGCTGTCTCCCTATGAATTTGTCAGCTGGACAGTCCGAGTGTGAACGCGAAGACTCTAGTTAGACTTGGCTTGGTCTAGATATGGTGGCTGATGTTCACTTGTGCTCCAAGCGCCGATAGTCCCAAGGTTGTAAAGACCAGGTTGGAGCTGCAAGCCCAGAAGGAAAGGTTCATTCAACCGTGTAGGGGTTTTGGGTATTGGGCAAACGTGGCATCGACAAGGTTGTGAACGCAGCTGCTTGTTCTTGCCGTTTCTTGCCTGCAGGAAGTGATCCGGTTTATCCGCAGCCAGATGCGCGGATGTACAATCTGCTGATCAGGGAGTTGGTCAAGCAGCGAGGTGCCTCGGACCATTCGTAGGCTTTGTCCATCCTGTATACCCACTTTTGCAAGATGCATTCAGGAAATAGTGCCACAAATAGGACATGGACGCATGGGAAGCAGTGGTGGAAGAGGTTTTCCTAAATGAAGGCCCCCGGAAGGCTGAACTCTTGTTTGAGCCGCTCTGCTTTTGGTGACCTATCCGTTGCAACGTAACCACAAACCTGCTCCATTCACGTGGAGAGGAGAGCTTGGCTCGAGCAGAAGTATGGCTCAACGTCCAGTGCTGTCGAGGGAACTCTGCTGAAGCTCCGCAGAATTGTTCCCGTGAAAGTCAGGAGCAATCAACTGCTTCGATATTTGGGCCATTCCTGCTTTGGGGAACTCCAGCTTGTACAGGAAGCCTTGGCACTCTCGTCTAGACATTTGTGTTTGATAATCATTGTACGCAAGCCCTGAGCACTCCAAAAGCAAAGATCTTGAATCAAAAGCTCAGCCCACTTGCCGTTGTTGGCTGTTGTCTGCAAAACAGGGAAAGTGGCAACTATAAAAAGTTGACAAGCGGTAGGTGAAAGGGAAGCATTGGGTGTGTCATTTGGCTAGGGGCTAACAAATGCTCCCACTCATTCGCGTTATATACCACGCGTATAATTCCTATTCATCTTCCTACTCGACTAGCTCGTCTGGCTCTCCAGATCGTTCGAGCCTTCCGACAGGACTGAGCACTGCGACAAGTCTTTGGTCCCGAATGGCGGATCCTTGGCCGTACCCGTAGCTAAGGATACTTTGGGTTCATAACTTGGTTGCAAGCAGATGCATGCATGCATGCGTATGTACGCATGTACGCAAACTACATACGTACACTTAAACAAATTCACATGCATACATACAGGCATCAACAAAGATAGTGTCACAAACACATCCGCAAAACACATACATGCATAGATAAGTGACCTGGAAGAAGTCTGCGCTAATGTACGCGCATAAGTACATGCAGAATACACAGAAAATGTCTTTATAGGCTATATAGGGGGAGAGAGCGAGATAGCGCCTGATCTGCCTGTTGGTGCAAGTGAGTTTCGGATTCGACGTGGCAGCATAGACATCATTCGAGAGGCAGCACAGATGTTTCGTCAGGTTCTGTGTTAATCTCCCTCGATCCTTGGCGCCAAGATCCGCCGTGAGAGCGGGAGCGCTCAAACTAAACCCTTGCCTTTCCCATACTGCCCGTACCCTCTGAACCGTGAACCCTCAATAGGTCTCGCCAGTTTGCTTTAATTGATGGCTTGCTTTCGCATTCGGCTTTAAAAAAAAGAGAACCCCAAGCCCCGAAGCCGATCAGGCCAGAGGCCTGGTCCCAGATGGCGTGCAGCTGGGCAAGAACAGTGGCAAAGGACATGGGGTTTCGTTCCAGATTGCCAACCGTTCCTGGGCGAGCTTAGATAAAAGGAACCCACATGACGCCAGAATTGTAGTCTCGCAGGGTTTTGTAAAATCGAGTCTGATGCTCCAGGCATGCAGGTCTTTTGGCGGCTTCAGGCGAGGAACTGGTTTAGGGTTCGTGTTCTCGGACATTCCCGTGGCGCAGGGACCGTTCAGGGATGTTCAGGGATTGGCTTTGGGCCGACCAGCTATGCAGAAAGACGTGCAACTTCAAGGCTGAACCTACTCGAGCCCCAGCTCCACGGTAAAGCACATTTTTGCTGGATCTCCTGAAGCTACAGATACTTCTTGCTCATGGTGGCGGTCTGCGCGAGCTCCGACCCACCACAGCTGGATCGGGCCAAGAGGTACCTCCGCAGAGGCCAGGCCCTTTCATTTCCTCTGTTAGGGTCAGGGGCCTGCCGTCGTGAACCGAGAACTTGACAGCACAGCCTGCTCCGGCACGCCTCGAAGATTACAACACTTAGCCAAAAGCAGGGGATTTCATGGCAGGCGAGATGCTGATGAAGAGGCAGAAGGTGAACTTCCGCTTCCAGCGCGAGTACGCTGCTCGGCCGATGCTGCCGCTCCTCTTTGGGTTGAAGACTTGTTTTCTCCTGCAAGAACGGCGGAGTCTTGGAGTTGTCTCATGCTGTTGGGATCTTGCGGATTCTGGAAGTCAGAGTAGTCGCAGCTTCTCAGATGTCGTGTGGGCCTTCCGGTTGAGCTCAGAAACTGGTAACCTGTGGTTCCTGCCTGGCCCATTAAACAGCCTATGTATGGGCCCACTTGAAGCGACGGCTTCAAGCGGCAGTCCTTAATTCGGATGTTCTGTTATCTTGGATCCATGTTAGGGGACCCCTTCTCCGAAACTCCTGTGTAATAGTAAGTCGTGTAAGTATATTGTGTTGTAGTTATGGCAATGGTTCTGTTATGACAGGGCTTGTAGCCCTAAAGTGGTCTCAGATTCAGGGCATCACCGCTTCCAGGACGTGGCCCAACTATACACAGCCCTGATGGCAGGCTACCTGAGGCGCGTAGGGCTTCGAGTTGGTTCAAGGCTTAGGCAAGCAGCTCCAGGCTGCTACTTGTAGGGCTTGTGAGGCGATGCACGGCAAAAATGGTGGCCGTAAGCAAGCCTGTATCGGTAACTCGGGGGCTTGTGCTCACACCACATAGAGCTGTTGCTGTGATTATATAGGTTTCTCATTCTTGGTTAGGGCTTGGTCACCGACTGGAAGAGAACTTAACATTTTTTCTTGGCCTTGTGATGTTGAGTTATCTTTCCTTGCCGCCTCTACCTTGGGCGCTCCTGAAGATGCGAAAAGCCAACAGGATGGGTCGGCTGACGGAGGCCTTCACTGTCCTTGGGACGATGCGCCAGCACGGCGTACGACCCAGTGCTGCCCCTCTGTCTTGATTGATCCAGTCGGAGTCGGCAAAACAGTCTTGTCTGCACTTGCTGGCCACAAGACGAAATGGGACCGTACACAAAGACAAAGACAGTAAGCATGACAAAGGTCATCGTCACCGACGTCATCGTCATCATTCTCATAGAACACTACCCGCTAGCCTGACCAGCCGTAGCAGCAACAACAGCTGCAACACGAACAGCAGCAGCAGCACCACCACCACCACAGCAGATTATAAGACTAAACATGCGAAGAAGACACTCATGTTTGCCGCGGCGAGGTCGTAGTATTCTTCCGAGAGAACAAACAGAGAACCGCGTCCGATAATATCCGATGGTGTATGCCTGTGCTACAGCCCATCAGGTCACGTTTTGCATCCTCCAGCAGTGCTGCTTTGCGCGCATGGATCCTTCTGCTGATGTTCGGCAGCTGCTGCGAATTATGGAGCAGATCGGAGTTCCGCCCGCCTCTTGTGCGCATGGCAGGCTCAATCTTTACACTGTATGCTCATTCCTCTGGCAACCTTAGATGCTTCCATATCACTGAACCCAGACTGAACCAACAAGATAAGTTTAAGCTTGTTGGGCTTATATGGCTTATATGTTTGCTCGATGATCAAGTTCGATTTTTTGGGTGCTTGGCTTTTCAAGAATAGAGCCAGAGCTTGTCGTTGAAATCTGGTGTCCTATTGGTCAATTATGTCTTAGGCCTTAGGCGTTCCAAAGCTGGACCCTGCGAGATCAAAGCTTGAGCGTGTGCATTGGTTCAAGGAGACGTCCAACTACAATGAGCTTATCAAGCTTCTTGGCAGAGGCAGGCTTTCACAAGTCAACATCCTGTTCCGCGCCAGCCTGGCAGGTGCAAGTGCAAACATCCACCTCTTCTCGAGTGTGTACGAATGCGAATCAAAGTGCCCAAACAGGAGGCAACGTGAAGTCGCCCAGTGACCTGTTTGTACAACGTAGTATAGATTCCCAGGCCGAAACCCGCCCTTATGAATCAGAGTACTCTGGTTTATAGACAGTAAAAAGGACCATATTGCAAACATAGCTTCATTTGGAGCCACTCTTACCTCCAGCTCTGCGAGATTCCAGAGATCTAGGACTCCCAACCTTTGATTCTTAGCAGCGCATGGCCAGTGTGGAAGGAGGTACAGCAAAGTATAGCAAAGTATGCAACCGGATTCCATCGCAGCAAGTAAGAAGAAGCCGACAAACGAACGACAGTTGCAGCGATAATGAAGGCAGTAAGCAGAGCGAGAATGATAAGCTTACTACAAGTAGCTGTGCTCACGTTGCACTGGTAGCACGCAAGAATCCAGAAGCATGCAGCCAACTCGCATCCTGAGATGAGAGCGGTTTAGACAGCCACAACACCTGACCTGCTTCTGGCCACAGACAATCTGATGTGTCTCTTCAGCCGAGATGCTACGGCCTGCAAGGGCAGATGACTTTGGCACTTGGAGTGGCAAATCGAATGCGGGAGGCATAAAGGGGTCCGTATTGCGGCATCGGGGCTGATAGAAGTAGGGTTTCGGTTGGGTAATCTCAGTTTGCCGCTGGCGTTGGGAGGCATGCTTTCTGGGGTTTGGGGTTTTCTGCATGTCGTACATCACGCATTGTCGTACGGCTTAGGATGCGTGCGCTTTGCCTTGCAGCGTTGAAGACTGGAGCCTGTTTCAGGGGACCTGACCGCCCTCCACCCCCTCCACTCCCCCACCCCTCCACCCCTTTATTTACCTCAAGGACGGATGTGTGTTCAATGCGGCCCCGGTGGAAGGAAAGGAGATGTGGAGGGGGGAGGGGGAGGGGTGGAGCGGGAGCAGGAGGAGGGAGAGGAGTAGGAGGGGCGGGGTGGAGAGGGGAGGGACGGGTGGAGGGGGAGCCGCTTATTGAAAATTGGCTTGGCGGCCCGGGCCCGAAGCTAACGAAGATAGTATAAAATGTCTGTTTAGGTATTAAAACACCGCGTAGTTAAAAATAGTCACCCTCCTACTACTACTACTACTACTACTACTACTCCTACTACTACTACTACTACTACTACTACTACTCCTACTGCTACTGCTACCGCTACTGCTACCACTACTACTACTCCTACTACTCCGACTACTGCTACTACTGCTACTGCTACTGCTACTGCTGCTGCTACTCCTACTACTCCTACTACTCCTACTACTCCTACTACTACTCCTACTCCTACTCCTACTACTACTACTACTACTACTACTACTACTACTACTACTCCTACTCCTACTACTACTACTACTACTACTACTA